GATAGATAGATAGATAGATAGATAGATAGATAGATAGATAGCGAGCTAGGTAGATAGATAGATAAGTAGGTTTGATAGATAGATAGATGGATAGATAGATATATAGCGAGTTAGGTAGATAGATAAACAGAAAGGTAGACAGATAAATAGAAAGATAGTTAGGTAGACAGAAAGATTGATGGTAAATCAGAAATCTAGTTTTATAAGAACATTAATAGATTGATAATTGAATAGCTTAACAGTAAAATAAATAGATAGATAAATAGCGTGCGAGAATGAAATAGAGTCAAATGGAGCTGCAATTTAGAGGAAATGAAAATAGTAAATAGTTAAATAGATAAAAAATTAGATAGTCAAATGCTAGCTAGGCTGATATTAGCTATGTAAAAGGTAGAGGAGTATAGAGAGCTAAACTGGTAGATAAGTAGATATTTAAATAAGTAGAAAATTAGATGAGTAAATTACTAAATAGATAAGTAGATGGATAGATGAGTAAATTACTAAATAGATAAGTAGATGGATAGATGAGTAAATTACTAAATAGATAAGTAGATGGATAGATGAGTAAATTACTAAATAGAGAAGTAGATGGATAGATGAGTAAATTACTAAATAGATAAGTAGATGGATAGATGAGTAAATTACTAAATAGATAAGTATATGGATAGATGATTAAATTACTAAATAGAGAAGTAGATGGATAGATGAGTAAATTACTAGATAGATAATGATTAAATGGGCAGTTAAATAGATAAATGAATATTCTTTTATTAATATAATCGTAAAGGTAATATTGATAAATATTTATTGATCGGTAGAAATACAGAAAGATATTATTAGATAGACAGCTGGTAAAGTTGATATCTTGTATGGTATATACATTTATCAAAGGCACAATTTAAATAGTTTTTGGACGAAAGTTCTATGATGCCATGATTACTTACTTTATTAGATATATTCATTTGAACTACTCAGGGCTTTTACAAATCAGATATCAAATAAATAAATATAGAAAATAAACAAATGAAAAGAATTTAATCCAAATCTATTAATAATTACCATCCACAAGAAAATAATTCCAATGTTATTCTTCAAAAATGTCAAACTTAGCTAATCAAAAATACAAAAAGGAAAAAAGTGCCAATAACAAAAAGTTTTGAAATAAGATTTAATTTCGAACAGGTGTCATTTGAATCATCATCGTTGTCTTCAGGCAAGCGTGCAGACTGCAGAACCTGGATCTAAACCTATGCCTGACTGCAGGACCTGGATCTAAACCTATGCCTGTCTGCAGGACCTGGATCTAAACCTATGCCTGAC